GTATTTGATCTGGTATCACCTAAACAAGTTTCTGGTAAAAGGTCTGGTATAATATAAACAAATCTCTGGTATTAGATCTGGTATCACCTTAACAAATCTCTGGTATTTGATCTGGTATAATCTAAACAACTCTCTGGTATCAGATCTGGTGTGACCTAAGCAAGTCTCTGCTATAATGTCCGGTGTCACCTAAGCAAATCTTTGGTATTAGGTCTAGTAAAACCTAATCAAGGCTCTGGTATTAGTTCTGGTATCACCTAAACCACCTTTAGTATTGGATCTGGTATTGACCTAAACAAATCTGGTAAAGGATCTGGTATAATTCAAACAAATCTCTGGTATTAGATCTAGTATAACCTAATCAAATCTCTGGTAAAGGGTCTGGTATAGCGTAACAAATCTCTGATATTGCATCTCTGATATCACATAAAAATATTTCTAGTATTGTATTTTGTATAATCAAAACTAATCTCTGGTATTGTGTCTGGTGTATTCTAAATAAATATCTGGTATTGTGTCTGGTATAATCTAAACAAATGTCTGGTATTGCAGTGTCTGGTATAACCTAAACAAATCTCTGATAAACTGTCGTCTATAAACAAATCTCTTGTGTTAAAGCTAAAGCCTGAAGACAAATTTCTATCATGATTAATCTATAAGAGTTTTTAAGTAACAATATATAAAATAATTGAGCCCTTACTACAAATTAAAATTTTCTTATCCCTATATCTTTGCAGCCTGATAGTTTAGACCTTTGATATCTGCTACTTTCAAAGATAAAGTAATTAGAAAATCAGACTTTATTCCTTTACTTATATTGGAATGTTTAAATTTTTAATGTCCAGACCTGGAAAGTTATGAATTAGTTAAGCTGTAAACCGGTTTAAGAATTTTAACCTAAATATTAAAGGTAATCGAATATCGAATTTAGGCGCTGGAGGCGATATTCAAAACAGAAGTATTTCCCTCTGAGCTTGGAATTTTTGAATGGTGGATATCGGTATTAACGCATGATTCAATCTTTTTCTTAATCTCGAGATTAAATAATGCTAGTTCTCCTCTTGTTATTAATCTCCAGATTATTAACCGATGGAGATTTAGAATTTCCCATATCTTAAGTTCCCAGCTCAGAGCTCTTAAACAAAACAATCCACATGTAGGAAGGAATCAGACGATTGTTTAAACTTGAACTAACTCAAAAGTTTCCAGCTTTGATCATTGATAATTTAAACATTCTAAAATGATTAAGTTTTTGTCACAAACTCTAATTTTATACGTTTTCATTTCCGGGCACCATCGAGGTATTCTACGTTTCAGCCTTAGCTAGCTAAAACGGTAAACGTTTAACATTCAAAATAGTTTAATATACCTTTATATCATAATTTACAGTTTTTAATCGATATTCAGAAGATGGGAAACAACCATTTTAATTTTGAAAATAAAAGCTGTTTTTTTGTATTTTTATTCAAAATTTCTTAATTGTACTATATCTAATCTACAAGTAAAAAAACGGATATTTTGCAAGTTTTTCTTCTTTTCAATAAGAGATGCCTATTGCATGAGTATTATTGACTAATCTGATTAGGAAATGTGGGGTGTTCTCATCATGCAATGTTAGTGACGTCACTGTTATTTATACAAAATTAAATAAAAATTGAAAACTATAACAGAGGACTTGAGTCTTTGCCACAAACTCTGATTTTTTAATCCCTTTATCTTTGCAACCCAATGTTGTAGATGTCTTAGATATTTCAAACTATGAATTCTGATCAAATAGTCTAAGTTTGAATTATAATAGGAAAATTTGAGTTTCTGGCAAAAACTCTCTTAAATCAAAAAAGCATTTTAATTTAAATTTTCAAAAATGTTTATCCTGAAATTAAAAAAAACAAACTTAATTTCGTATAAGACTTATGTTCTACCTGCAGTGCTCCCCATTTCCCATATTTTTGTGTAAACGGGTCAATCATTGTTACATAGCGGGACTCACGCATCTTCCTGGCATAAAATGTGCCGCCTGGACAAAAATAGGCAATGAATATTTCAAGTAAAAAGTTAATATTTGAAATTTTAAAGTTTTAAAGTAAAGGGAAAATGCAAAATTATTTACGGATAAGCCACAATTTATTGCAATCATATTAGTTTTTTTATCCGAAGTTTGAGTTCCATCAAATGACATATAAAAGTTAGCATCACAGAAACATCTGATAGAAAGAAATTCAACAGACTCATAGCTCAATAATTAGTATCCAATAAAATAGACTTCCCCCGAACACTGTTGTATTTTCAGCACTTTATTATGAAAATACGTATAATGCAATATATCAGACGGAATAGGTTGTAAACCCGGCGATGCCCAGGGCAAGGAACTATATACAGGATCGCCCAACTCAGATATACGCATATTATGTACTGTACACTGTGGGAGCTAGGACAGGATGTAAACACACCCAGTTCCCCTACAGAAGTTGAAGGGAAAGGACTAAAGCTCTGATGTGATATTTCAATTTACACTCCAACAAAAAACAAGTAAATATATCAAATTAGAGCGAATACATATAATTTTTGGCTTTCTGGTCAATATGGAAAATACATTAGCAATATATTCTTACTCCACCCCTTGAGCCCTTTCCCCTCAAAAATGCCGCTGAATTCTTTGTTTTGATCTCCTCCCACTGCAGTACACAAATTTGACGCGTGAGAAATGGCGGTTCCTGGTCTATATATTTCTTGACCCAGGGTACTCCGGCCCGCCGTTCACCCGCGCATGGACATTCAATCAAATAAACAAACAAACAGAGATTAAACTTTACATATTGTAATAATGGACGATTTTGTTGATCTTTTACGATCAGCGATTCAAGGATTTTTTGGATCACTGAGATCATAGCTACCTAGGGGCATCATGCCCCCTCCTCCCCCCCCCCATCTTTTACCCTATGGTTAGACTTTTGAATCCTATTTTGAATCCTAACGGATTTATTTGAGTTTGCATGTGGATTCTATAAATAACCCAAGCGACGCCGAATTTTCCGTTATCTCGAAGACCCAAGCGTTGGGGAGGGGACGGACCAACCCCGGGGTAGCTAGGGTTAAATGCAAACCAAGGATGGAGCGAAATGCAGGGAAAAGGGTAGTTGATGATCAGCTCCCTTATACAGAGGTTCCTTTGAAGATTCCCCACCACCTTGAAACTGTTTCGATTCACAATATCTGATTAGTATAGTATCAATCGTGTATTTTTTGTATCTTTGTAAAATATAGTATAAGAAAAACCGACTCGACGAATATATTATTTTCTAGTGGTTGCATTTAGTATTTTTTTATTCATATACAATATGGTGACAAGTTCAAAAATTGGAAGCCCAAATAGCAACACTAGTTTTTAATAATATTCGGCGAAATAGTTTTCTAGGATTTCGGCGCACCCTAACCAAAAGCTAGAAAACTATCGGTAAGCTTGCGCAGACCGCGGCATTGAAAATAGACGCCAACTCATCCTAGAGCACAGTTAACGGTTACATTTCCAATTGTGAACATTTTACGAAAATTCACGGTAAGATAATTTAATTTTCCATCTTGATTTCAAATTGTAAATTCATGAGTTTGGCGAAATATTTTCATCAAGCTTTAATGTTTTGTTTCGACAGATTTACGTAGGTAAAATGACGCGAGTTAAGTAACATGTTAGAGACACAGACCGAGAAAATGTTTCTTAAATTTCAATGTATATTTCAACCGTACTCCATTCTTATATTCTAGGATGGAGGACATCGTCGCTGAACAACGAGGGTCTGGGGGTAGGCCTGATTGGTTCCTCAGATGGCTCAAAGAAGTCTTTTTGCCAGCATCTAGAGATCCTCTAGCGTCGCAAATTGAGCAATTTGAGAGTGCAGTGGAGCAAATTCCAAATATCGACGAGGCAGTCAAGAAGTCGTTAACCACAACACTATCAACAGAAGCAAGAATCATTCTGCAGAAAGAAGATGACAAGTCGAAGGTACAACAACTGCTCAAAACCCAAGTACTAGCTATTGATGATGCAGTTTCACCGATGCCCTGGAGCCAGTTGTCTGAAACAGAGTCGAAGATAATATCCCGAGTCGTTGAGAACATCAAACAGCAAGATTTTGCGACCAAATCCATCATGTACTGGTCTATTCATTTTTCCGACCTGTTCGACAAGTTCTTTATCGCCAGTAGAGTGGGCCGGATTGCTGTAGTTTATAATAGCTGTTCCACCAGTTTGAAGCAACGTCTTCTGGCGCTAGATGTTGGTAGTGAAGCGCAGAAAGACTCCTATTCTTACCTCACCTTGCTCCAAGTTATAACAACAGTCGTGCACTCCCCCAACGCGATGGATGATGCGATGCTACAAATCTTCAAAGGTTTCCGCCAGGCTAGTTCAGAATCAGTTCAAGCGTTCCTGCAGAAGGTTCGAGATACGGCTGAAGAAGCTTACGGCCCCTCCTCGAGCTGGACAATGTCGCAAGCTTCTCTCCTCCTGAAGAAGATATGTGAAGGATTAAATTCCTCAGAGTTGGCTAAACTTACAGCATCCATAGTAATTTCCGTCCCGTTCCAGTGGAATATGCTTTGCGACGCCATAACCCAGTTCCAACAGAGGACAAAACCGGTCCAGACGGACACAAACGTTAATGCAGTTCAACAAACTTCAACCAGAACCCCTGTTTGCTTCAAATGTGGCGCGGCTCACTACATGCGCGAATGCAAAGTCCTGGTTTGCCGATACTGTGGAGAGAATCACAAAAATGCTAGCTGTTCAAAATCCGGCCAGAAAACTTTCTGCGTCAAATGTATAATGTATTGTGCATAAGTGAACATTTAGGACGGATTTTGTACTGTAGTTTATGCAAGGATAATAATAATATACATAAATATGTGGTCATAGTTCAAGTTTAGATAAACCAGGTTTGGAACATTCTTCCTTCTCCAGTAGTTTCTCCATGTCTTCGTCTTAACAATCAAACCATAAATAATGCAGAGCATACTCAGCAATTTCATCTCTAGTTTCTTGGCTTAGATTCGTATACCGACCCCGTCTACCATATAACATTTGTAAATACAATTTCAAGAAAAATTACAAGGTTTTGATTGTTATCACATATAAATATTATGGTACATACTTACTTCGACCTTTCCTCGTTAGTAAGATGAAGAATATTCTGTATCCGGTCTGCCATTTTTTCCTTTGCCGCGTCGTCTTGTGTATCCACCATCTTTTTATCCTCCATTGCAGCTGCAATTCGTTCAAGTCTCTCCTCTCGTCTCATCGCCTTCAATGTTTTTCTTCTTCCTCCTACCTCCTCTTCATTTTCTTCTTCGCTCTGATAATAAGTATTTTGTAGCGATGTTTAAATGACAAGAGAAGTAAACAGACTGAATATTTATTATGTAAACGAAGTATTTATACCAGATGCATAATCTAAACAATAACAAACAAATTGTTGTGAACTGTATTCCAGGAATCCAGGGGCGCCACAATTTACATGATTTCATTCTTTCAGTATTAATCTCCTTTTCTCAGTTACAAATATTCTTTGAACGACTTTTTATTTCGAGATAAGTAAAATAGAAACCAGAAAGTATTTGGAATTTGNACTAAAACTATATACTATAAATATTGATGCGTTATGAACTATAGAAGTTTATACTAAAACTATATACTATAAATATTAATGCGTGAAAAAATTACCAATTTCTACAAACCCAATATTTGATATTTTGTTACAATCTCAAATTTAGTAAATTTTTCGGTAAAACGTTTCAGTCAAAATATGTATGATTTTATATTTGAAGGCAATGTGTTCTGATTGAACAAAATATTTTGTTTCATGGAAATTGTTTTTGCTTTTATTTCTTTCTCAGCAAATCCCTAACACACACAAAGGCTTACTTTTAGTAAAAGTGCCTTAAGTTTGTTTTGGACATACCTCTTTCATTAGATAACTTTTTGCGCTTTTTGACCAAAGATGATAAAGACTGTTCACCACTCACCAGACCAAAGACAATAAAGACTGTTTACTACTTACCAGACCAAAGACATTAAAGACTGCTCACCCCTCACCAGACCAAAGACAATAAAGACTGTTCACTACTCACCAGAACAAAGACAATAAATACTGTTTTCTACTCTGAAACCAAATACGAAAAAGACTGTTAATACTCAGAAAACCAAATACAAAAAAGTCTGTTCACTACTTACCAGACCAAAGACGAAGGACTGTTCACTAATCAGATGCAGTCCAAAGACGATAAAGACTGTTTTCTACTCACCAGACCAGAGACAATAAAGACTGTTTACTATTTACCAGACCGGAGACAATAAAGACTGTTTACTGCTCACCAAACCAGAAACAATAAAGACCGTTTACTATTTACCAGCCCAAAGACGATAAAGACTACTAAATACTCACCAAACCAAAGAAGATAACGACTGTTTACTGCTCACCAGACCAGAGACAATAAAGACCGCTTACTACTCACCAAACCAGAGACAATAAAGACTGTTTACTACTCACCAAACCAATGACGATAAAGAACATTTGAACTACGTCTGTATACGCTACTGATATGAGACCTCCTAGCATCGTGTAGAGAAGTGCTATTGCAGCGCTGACTATTATAGAAATAGTTTCATCCAAACTCAGAATCACCTAAATATTTCAGACAGGGTTACCTATAAACAATGAGACTGTAAAGACGACTGATAACTGTGAAGATAAGTAATGTAGTAATAAGTAAGTAAAGTTATCTAAAAATAAGTCTAGATGCCTTGGAATATTGTCTTCATATCTTATTACATCATATAGCAAAGAAAGAAACAAGTTTACAGTGACAGAAAATCATGAATATAAGAAAACAGACAATATAAATTCCGACCAGTCGTCTTTGAAGTCTCATCCTTCGTGGGTAACCTAGAACCAGCATCAGTTGCATAAATTAATCATGTGGACAATTATAATATTTTCTCTTAATTTTAATCAAAGCTGAATTCTTAAAATAAATAAAAATCACATTAAAATTGTAAAACATCGTGGTTTTTTCATAAATAGGGTAGGGTAAGTGCGGTAAAAAGTCCTGTCTGTGTAAAAAAAATCTAAAATAGCCCTTAACTTTTTTATGAATAAAGCTACAGATCAAATTTTTTTATAAAGCCCTTAAAAAATTAATATAGAAAAATGTGTCTCACTATGATATTTTTTTTACCTTTTTTTTGGCCTTTTTTTAACCCTTCCTAGAACCCAAACTATAAAAGTTATCGATTTAAGTTTTTTTCAATGGGCTGGCCTTAAAAAATTGGATTATGAACATCTATTTCAACCCTATACCTATTCTCTCCTGCCTTTTTCTAGGGGGGGGGGGGGCGTGGAACCCTCCAATAGGTTTTAAGAAAACTCTAAAGAAGGCTGAAAGGAAGGAATTAAAACAATTACAAAACGTGAAAATTGAACCGACAGGAAACAGTGTGAGAAATAAAAATAAAATATTTTGATCATTAGATTTTTATTCAACAGTCTGGGCAATACTAATTTTGTTCCCACGTTTGACAAATTTTAAATATTTGACAGTTTTTTTTTTCAACATTTTCGTGTCTACTTTTTCACAATTATTAATATCTAAATAAAACCTATTTTGGAAAACCAGCTTTGTCTTGAGTTTTCTCTACAAAAGTCTACCCACCCACTCAACTAATATTGTTAAAACCAGGCTTAGAATATTACCATTGTTCTATTAACAATTGGCCAAATCTCCTAATCTTAAAAGGCAGTTTAGCTTGATTTCTCCTTCTAATAGGAAGTTGAGCCCAAACCTCCTTGTTATTCTTCTCTTATGACGTATTTTCTCTAATGATTTGAAGCAGAATATAATCCCTTTAAGAGGAAGGAAAAGTCTAGTCCTAAGGCAGCGAGGTCATTTCCATCCAGAGTTCCTTAAATAGGAAGTTGTCGGAAAACGACCCTGGTACCTCAGGAACGCACTTTTCCTCCCTTATATGGGAATGATAAATGTTTCAAAGCAGAGTATAAAATGCGTCAAACAAAAGGTAGAACAAGACTCAACTTCCTATAAGAGGGAGAAATCAAGGTAAACTGCCTTTTTTAATCGGGAGTCCTTACGAGGCATTCCAGTTTTGGGACGATGAAAATACAGTTTATTAGGACAAGCAGACAAACGAACACACCGAGATTACTACTTTATATATTGGTTTATCTTTGGACTGAGTTTAGCTACTTCTCTTGAACTTGAAATAGAAGACAAAAGACGTGGTTCAATCTGGTCCACCAGCTCAACTATAACTTCTCGTTAATCGTATAATTTGGTTCTTAGTTTAAGTCTTAAGTTTTTGTCGCAAACTAAATTTTTCTAATCACTTTAACTTTATAACCTTGTGGTGTAAGCCTTTGATATATAATACTATAGATATTTCATCTTGGTGTACGACATTGGGTTGCCGAGATATAGGGATGATCAATTAGGCTAATATCGAAAAAATATCTACTTGGTTTTGGGGGACTAGGTGAGGCAAAGAGATAGGTTTAACCCTATCCCTGCTGGGGTACTTGAAAACCAGGATAATTTCGGTTCAAGTCCAGTTTCGGTTCAAGTCCAGTTTCGGATGCGTTTGTTGACAATCAACCACTATACATTAGTGCAGCTAGCTAGCCCGCCCTTGTGAATTAAAGAATTTAATCTAAAGGCAAGTTTTTACATCTGTTTAGATATTTTTTCCTCAAAAATTGATTAAATTCCCTAATTTAGCGAATTACGCGTGCACAAATTTTATAACATTCTATTTTTATATTTCAAGTTTTATTAGATTTTAGAAAATATTTGATAAAAATTCCAAATCTATTGAAAAATCAAGGGAGTATAGTTATGTTGAAAAATTTGCATAAATAATCTTTTGTTATTGTGCATATGGCGGGATTGATGGGTAAGATGTTATCTAATTACTGAATGCAGGTAGTTCATGTTTAATATAATTAATCAAATTTTTAACAAACTTTTCAACCTTTTACAGAGAAAATTTACTTTGAGGTAATTTTGACTTTTTCTCAAGTTAAAAAAATATAATTTAAGAACTTATGCTCAATAAATGTTTCAAAGATTATTACATTAGTTTTAAGATTTTTTAAAATTTAAATCACTAAAATATTTTGATACAAAGTTTTTGCAAAAAATTCAAATTTTATTTTTTGGGCTAAAGCAAACTTATAGAGAATACAGTTTTAAAATATGCTAAACCCTGAATGTTCCAAAAACGTAAAATTACAATGCCAGCCAGGCCGCAGCCCAACTATTCAGTATCCGTTACAAATATTTCAAAACTCATAAGGGACTGTTCACTTGATATCAAGTGACCCGTTATTCTAATTAGATGTTTCTTTATTATCAAAACATTCCCATTTAAGCTTTTGTCTCAAGAAAAATGAATCATTTTCAATTGTAATTTCTCTAAAATTTCCGGATTTTAAAACTGCTAAGACATGAAAACGAAGACAACTTTTAATAAGAGTTTCGTTCTGAATTGGACATTTAACATTTTTGAAATATGTTTTGATATATATACGTATACCATTCAATATTTCTATATATGTATACCATTAAAGCAGATATACCTGCAACGTTGATCCTAAAGCTCCGAGGATGCTGGCACTCCAGAAAATCTCCGATATTGAAGCTGGTATAACCTAAACAGATCTCTGGTATTTGATCTGGTATAGCCTAAACAAATCTCTTATATTTGATCTGGTATCACAGATAAATCTCTGGTATTTGATCCGATCACCTAAACAAGTCTCTAGTACAGGGTCTGGTATAATCTAAACAAATCTCGGGTACTTGATCTGACATAACCTAAACAAATCTCTGGTATTTGATCTGGTATTACAGACAAATCTCTGGTATTTGATCTGATCACCTAAAAAAGTCTCTGGTAAAGGGTCTGGTATAAACTAAACAAAACTCTGGTATTAGATCTGGTATAACCTAAACAAGTCTCTGGAGAAGGGTCTAGTATAACCTAAACAAATTTCTGATATTGGATCTCGTAAACACCTAAACATCTCTGGTATTTGATCTTAAATAACTTTAACAAGTTTCTGGTATTAGATCTGGTATAACCCAAAAAAATCTCTGGTATAAGATCTGGTATCACCTAAACAAATCTCTAGTATTTGATCTGGTATCACCTATACAAGTTTCTGGTAAAGGGTCTGGTATAATCTAAACAACTCTGGTATTAAATCTGGTATCACCTAAACAAATCTCTGGTATTTGATCTGGTATCACCTAAACCAGTTTCTGGTAAAAGGTCTGGTATAATCTCAACAACTCTCTGGTATTAGATCTGGTATTACCTAAAAAAATCTCTGGTATTAGATCTGGTATTACCTAAACAGATCTCTGGTATTTGATCTGGTATAACCTAAACAAATCTCTCGTATTTGATCTGGTATCACCCAAACAGTTCTCTGGTATTTAATCATGTATAATCTTAACAAATCTCGGGTACTTGATCTGGTATAGCCTAAAAAAATCTCTGGTATTTGATCTGGTATCACAGATAAATCTCTGGTATTTGATCCGATCACCTAAACAAGTCTCTAGTACAGGGTCTGGTATAATCTAAACAAATCTCGGGTACTTGATCTGACATAACCTAAACAAATCTCTGGTATTTGATCTGATCACCTAAAAAAGTCTCTGGTAAAAGGTCTGGTATTAACTAAACAAAACTCTGGTATTAGATCTGGTATAACCTAAACAAGTCTCTGGAGAAGGGTCTAGTATAACCTAAACAAATTTCTGATATTGGATCTCGTATACACCTAAACATATCTCTGGTATTTGATCTTAAATAACTTTAACAAGTTTCTGGTATTAGATCTGGTATAACCCCAAAAAATCTTTGGTATTAGATCTGGTATCACCTTAATAAATCTCTGGTATTTGATCTGGTATCACCTAAACAAGTTTCTGGTAAAAGGTCTGGTATAATATAAACAAATCTCTGGTATTAGATCTGGTATCACCTTAACAAATCTCTGGTATTTGATCTGGTATAATCTAAACAACTCTCTGGTATCAGATCTGGTGTGACCTAAGCAAGTCTCTGCTATAATGTCCGGTGTCACCTAAGCAAATCTTTGGTATTAGGTCTAGTAAAACCTAATCAAGGCTCTGGTATTAGTTCTGGTATCACCTAAACCACCTTTAGTATTGGATCTGGTATTGACCTAAACAAATCTGGTAAAGGATCTGGTATAATTCAAACAAATCTCTGGTATTAGATCTAGTATAACCTAATCAAATCTCTGGTAAAGGGTCTGGTATAGCGTAACAAATCTCTGATATTGCATCTCTGATATCACATAAAAATATTTCTAGTATTGTATTTTGTATAATCAAAACTAATCTCTGGTATTGTGTCTGGTGTATTCTAAATAAATATCTGGTATTGTGTCTGGTATAATCTAAACAAATGTCTGGTATTGCAGTGTCTGGTATAACCTAAACAAATCTCTGATAAACTGTCGTCTATAAACAAATCTCTTGTGTTAAAGCTAAAGCCTGAAGACAAATTTCTATCATGATTAATCTATAAGAGTTTTTAAGTAACAATATATAAAATAATTGAGCCCTTACTACAAATTAAAATTTTCTTATCCCTATATCTTTGCAGCCTGATAGTTTAGACCTTTGATATCTGCTACTTTCAAAGATAAAGTAATTAGAAAATCAGACTTTATTCCTTTACTTATATTGGAATGTTTAAATTTTTAATGTCCAGACCTGGAAAGTTATGAATTAGTTAAGCTGTAAACCGGTTTAAGAATTTTAACCTAAATATTAAAGGTAATCGAATATCGAATTTAGGCGCTGGAGGCGATATTCAAAACAGAAGTATTTCCCTCTGAGCTTGGAATTTTTGAATGGTGGATATCGGTATTAACGCATGATTCAATCTTTTTCTTAATCTCGAGATTAAATAATGCTAGTTCTCCTCTTGTTATTAATCTCCAGATTATTAACCGATGGAGATTTAGAATTTCCCATATCTTAAGTTCCCAGCTCAGAGCTCTTAAACAAAACAATCCACATGTAGGAAGGAATCAGACGATTGTTTAAACTTGAACTAACTCAAAAGTTTCCAGCTTTGATCATTGATAATTTAAACATTCTAAAATGATTAAGTTTTTGTCACAAACTCTAATTTTATACGTTTTCATTTCCGGGCACCATCGAGGTATTCTACGTTTCAGCCTTAGCTAGCTAAAACGGTAAACGTTTAACATTCAAAATAGTTTAATATACCTTTATATCATAATTTACAGTTTTTAATCGATATTCAGAAGATGGGAAACAACCATTTTAATTTTGAAAATAAAAGCTGTTTTTTTGTATTTTTATTCAAAATTTCTTAATTGTACTATATCTAATCTACAAGTAAAAAAACGGATATTTTGCAAGTTTTTCTTCTTTTCAATAAGAGATGCCTATTGCATGAGTATTATTGACTAATCTGATTAGGAAATGTGGGGTGTTCTCATCATGCAATGTTAGTGACGTCACTGTTATTTATACAAAATTAAATAAAAATTGAAAACTATAACAGAGGACTTGAGTCTTTGCCACAAACTCTGATTTTTTAATCCCTTTATCTTTGCAACCCAATGTTGTAGATGTCTTAGATATTTCAAACTATGAATTCTGATCAAATAGTCTAAGTTTGAATTATAATAGGAAAATTTGAGTTTCTGGCAAAAACTCTCTTAAATCAAAAAAGCATTTTAATTTAAATTTTCAAAAATGTTTATCCTGAAATTAAAAAAAACAAACTTAATTTCGTATAAGACTTATGTTCTACCTGCAGTGCTCCCCATTTCCCATATTTTTGTGTAAACGGGTCAATCATTGTTACATAGCGGGACTCACGCATCTTCCTGGCATAAAATGTGCCGCCTGGACAAAAATAGGCAATGAATATTTCAAGTAAAAAGTTAATATTTGAAATTTTAAAGTTTTAAAGTAAAGGGAAAATGCAAAATTATTTACGGATAAGCCACAATTTATTGCAATCATATTAGTTTTTTTATCCGAAGTTTGAGTTCCATCAAATGACATATAAAAGTTAGCATCACAGAAACATCTGATAGAAAGAAATTCAACAGACTCATAGCTCAATAATTAGTATCCAATAAAATAGACTTCCCCCGAACACTGTTGTATTTTCAGCACTTTATTATGAAAATACGTATAATGCAATATATCAGACGGAATAGGTTGTAAACCCGGCGATGCCCAGGGCAAGGAACTATATACAGGATCGCCCAACTCAGATATACGCATATTATGTACTGTACACTGTGGGAGCTAGGACAGGATGTAAACACACCCAGTTCCCCTACAGAAGTTGAAGGGAAAGGACTAAAGCTCTGATGTGATATTTCAATTTACACTCCAACAAAAAACAAGTAAATATATCAAATTAGAGCGAATACATATAATTTTTGGCTTTCTGGTCAATATGGAAAATACATTAGCAATATATTCTTACTCCACCCCTTGAGCCCTTTCCCCTCAAAAATGCCGCTGAATTCTTTGTTTTGATCTCCTCCCACTGCAGTACACAAATTTGACGCGTGAGAAATGGCGGTTCCTGGTCTATATATTTCTTGACCCAGGGTACTCCGGCCCGCCGTTCACCCGCGCATGGACATTCAATCAAATAAACAAACAAACAGAGATTAAACTTTACATATTGTAATAATGGACGATTTTGTTGATCTTTTACGATCAGCGATTCAAGGATTTTTTGGATCACTGAGATCATAGCTACCTAGGGGCATCATGCCCCCTCCTCCCCCCCCCCATCTTTTACCCTATGGTTAGACTTTTGAATCCTATTTTGAATCCTAACGGATTTATTTGAGTTTGCATGTGGATTCTATAAATAACCCAAGCGACGCCGAATTTTCCGTTATCTCAAAGACCCAAGCGTTGGGGAGGGGACGGACCAACCCCGGGGTAGCTAGGGTTAAATGCAAACCAAGGATGGAGCGAAATGCAGGGAAAAGGGTAGTTGATGATCAGCTCCCTTATACAGAGGTTCCTTTGAAGATTCCCCACCACCTTGAAACTGTTTCGATTCACAATATCTGATTAGTATAGTATCAATCGTGTATTTTTTGTATCTTTGTAAAATATAGTATAAGAAAAACCGACTCGACGAATATATTATTTTCTAGTGGTTGCATTTAGTATTTTTTTATTCATATACAATAATATATATATTCACGTATCTATAACACGATTTAAGTAACTTACTGATGAATAACGACAGACTGTATCCAAAGGGTGCCTGAAAAATAAATTATGTTTCATAATTAAAGGATTATTATGTTTTTAATTGGTTGGTTGGCTGAGGAAATATTTGTTTAATAAACGAGAATAAATTAATTTTGAACTTTGTTGAATAAATCTTTTGAATCTTTTGAACAAACGCAAATTTGATTAACAGGAAAATTTATGAAATTTTATAAAAGACGGGATTTTATTTCACGCATTAGGAACAGTTTGTTTAGAAATTTTTAACTAGCTTTTTTAAAGGGAGTGACCGGCAATGTATAGCTTTTAAATTGAGAATGTAGTATTGTGGAAAAATATTTTAGGGATCATTTGAGACGACGAAAAAAGTAGTCAACATTTTTACAGTAAACAAATTAGTTGTTTCGGAACCGGTTGAGAAAATTAAAATTAACTCTTATCATCAAAAAAAGGTAATCTTATTCAATTATTGGTTTCTGAAATGCCTCATTTTCACAAAATGTTCTGTAGATTTCCTGGAATTTTATTAAGAAGACGACATTTGAAGAATTTGAAGAAATCTGCGGACAAATTCATAAAGAAATAGACAAACATTCAACTAATGATGAAAAAGAAATAATTAATCCTAACATTGATTTATTGAGAAATATGTTCCTAAACATCTAATTTGAGTTTACTGTAGAATTGGATTTACATTTTTTATCGAAGTTATATAATAATTTTAAAAATCTATTCTTATATTGTAACCACCCAAATGGATGATTTTATAAGTAGATTTTGCACTTAATTTCAGTAATAATTCATCATTAAAACGTTTTTTAATGCCTCAAATGAATCCTAAAAAATTTCTATACAATACTACATTCTCAGTAGATTAGTCGTCTAGTCCTATACCTGAGTGTAGATTAGTTGTCTAGTCCTATACCTGAGTGTAGATTAGTCGTCTATTCCTGTACCTGACTTGTATACTCTAATCCTATACCTGAGTCTAGATTAATCGTCTAGTCCTGTACCTGAGTCCAGATAAGTCCTGACTTGTATGCTTCTTGAGCTGACCCATTTATGAACCCTCCTCCGACCCATGTTGCTCCCATGGTCAGCACACCAACAAACATACCAATATCACGACCAGCCAACATAACCTTAAATACAAAGCATTAGTTTGGGTCTCCAGTAAGTAAATATAAACCATTAGTTTGGGTCTCCAGTAAGTAAATACAAATCATTAGTTTGGGTCTCCAGTAAGTAAATACAATTCATTAGTTTGGGTCTCCAGTAAGTAAATACAAATCATTAATTTGGGTCTTTAGTAAGTAAATACAAATCTGTGGCGGAAGACGATCCAATATGAAGAGTCTGAAGCCGGATATTCGAACGCGGCAAGACGTACTTCAATACTGCCACGTCACCTTGATAAATTCATTCCGATAACTTAAACTAAAATTTGTATTTTATCAGTTAATAAAGTAATTATTTAAACCAGGCATTATTAAACCGAGCGTAGCTAAAAATTATTAGTTTGGGTCTCCAGTAAGTAATTACAAATCATTAGTTTGGGTCTCCAGTAAGTAAATAAAATTCATTAGTTTGGGTCTCCAGTAAGTAAATTCCACGTAACATTTTTGTTTTCAATCAAAACTCCTCTAATTGAAGAGCTATTGAGAAGAACAAAAATGTTTTGAATTTTTTGCATAAAACTGGATAAAGAAATTGAGTCTTCGTCACAGACTTAAATTGTCTAATCCCTATACCTTTGCAACCTTACGGGGTAAACCTGTGATATTTCAAAATTAGATTATTCATTCCTAAAGAATTAATGGATTAAAATATCTAAGGTATACCTCTTTGGGTTGTAAAGATAAAGGGATTACAAAACAGTGTTTTTTAGACTTTGTTCGTTAGAGACCCCTCGCCCCCCCCCCTGTTCTTTTTCGTTTTCCTTCTTATCTTTTTCTTTAACCAAAAAAAAAATGTAAAATCATAGTTCGTAAACCAACTGAGAAAAGAATATGCAAAAAAATAAGTAATGCAATTGAGTTAAGTGATAGATTTATGATTTTTCTCTCAAGGTTATAAAAAAAACTTATCTGGAAATAACTAAAACGTTAACAAACAAAGCTTTAACATTTTTTTATTTTTCTTAAGCTGTACACACAACACTCATTGTAAGCTTTTAAAGGCTTATTTATATGTTTACACATTGAACCTTTTAAGAAAAAATATACACTGATTTCTTAAAACTATTTTTTTTGTAAAATCATAGAACATTTACGACGCAAGGATGGTGCCTCTTTTGTTAGTTAGGTTTTCTATGTACATTTAATGATTGCGGGCGCGTAAATGAAATAATCTTTTTATTTATTTTTATTTATATTTCATCTTGAAATTATGGTCTCAATAAACGCTAGGTTGAATCAACTCATGATTCAACCCACATACGTTTTGATTTAAAAAAAAAAAACTTTTAACTTTTTAATCTTCAAGTTTTACGCCAGTTTAACGCCAATGTGAACCTATGAGAATATTTCACACCAACCGAACCATGAGATCTGTAAAACTTGGATCGTCTTGGATCTAAATATTTTTACCTGTTGAGATCTGTAAAACTTAGATCGTCTTGGATCTAAATATTTTTACCTGTTCCTGGTTTTGTTCCTCATTTCTTGATTTCCATCCCGCATACATCCCAACCTAGTTATAAGTATATACTAGCTTGGGAACCCAGCTTTTTCTGGAAACTAGACTTTCTTTCATAAAAGTCAACCCAATCAACTTAGAATTATTAACCTAACTAAGAAAAATCTCCTGGTTCTTTCTTGTTTCCCAAACAAAATTTGAGGCAAATTGGTCCGAGGGTTTAAGATTTATGATCAAACATCCAAAAAAAACAAAGAGAGATTACTACTTTATATTTATACGGGTCTATTTTGAAACTAATATATAGTGGTATACTTGCATGCAAATATTTTAAGAACATGACATAAAAAAAGTAATTCCCTCTATACATTCATTTATCTTTTATCGGAAATTATGTGTGCAGTGAACTAAGAAATTCTTCTTGAATAGTTCATTGTGTGCATCAATGTCAAAACGGCTAAAACAAACAGACCCATTTTTTGTAGTAACTAAAATGATGGCAACGTGGAATTGTACACTTTCAGAACAGCCGTATTCTGACGTCACAAGTGTAAACTCAGTTTTTATGTCCGACAAAATTATTAATAACAGTGATAATTTTAAATGAAATGCCTATCTTACAGTAAAATAAGTGCAATTTTATGTGCTCTTTATTTTCTGTCTTTAAACTTTTTTATTTAATCTTGGAAAACATGTCAACTAATGTGAGAAAATTTCGTTTTCCTTGTTATATTTGACATTTGTAACGTCGTGTACAGTTGATCCATTACTCTGGTGCCACCTATTGTACTTGATAATCTATTTTAAAAAAACTGTAATTTTTTTCTTCTTTTTTTCAACATTTTCAGGCAGAAAATATAGTAACCCAGAACTTCGGAGAATAGTTTTAAAGAGCTTCACATAATTATTCAATTAAAAACTAAATACAGTGACCAGCGTTTATATCAATACAATGAAGACTTTTCTTTTTAAGTTTTGATCTCTAACAGTCTTATTTTATTTACAAGTTTACAAGCATACAAAGAGATCAGCTGTTAATGGACAACTTCTATCTTTTTAGAAATATTTATGTGTATCCATGCTGTTTGAAAGATTGGTAGAAATCAAAAATTAAAATGAAAAAAAAACTTATCTAAAAATGTTACCGCAAGGACTGCAAGGTAGAAAACCAAGATGGCGATAAGTCCAGCAACATTAAGAGAATCCTGTCCCAAACATGATCCCGTTCCGTTCCAACTTAATATCAGATTGTTAATACAGTTCCGTTCCAACTTAATATCAGATTGTTAATACAGTTCCGTTCTAACTTAATATCAGATTGTTAATACAGTTCCATTCCAACTTAATATCAGATTGTTAATCACTTTCAGAACAAACCTTAAACTTTTCTTTGAAATATAGAAATTATGAACATTTTGCTTCGCATTTTATTATATATATATTAGGGATGTCTCACCAATTTTATATCACTCTCGTCGTAATTTTGAATGAAACGTTAGAAATTTACATGATTTATGAACTCAAAATTATTTCTATATATAAATAATTCAAAAAGACAATTATAAAATGAAAAAAAGGATTCCATTATGCTCATTTCAAAGTACTTTTTTTACAAAAACATTTAGACTGATTACATCAAAATATGAATATTAACCCTATTCATTGATTTAATAGTTTTAATAAAAGTAGCATTATTCTATATTACAAAAAAACCATATTTCTATTATACTTTTGGCCTCCTATTTGCAATTCCCAAAGCGGCAACTTCTTAAAGGTAAGGTTAGGAAGGGAGGGGTGGCTGCTCTGCAGGGTTTTGGAATTGCTCCCAGGATTTTAAAGTTGCTCTCGGGGTTTTGGAGTAAAATGTGAAAATTTATCCGACCTTTAATGAAAAGTCCTTTATAAAGGGTACTTTAAAACCAAAACTTGAAAAAAGGGCTCTGCTACCCCATTTTTGCTGTCTTTGTTCAGATATTTGCAGAAAAAATTGCAAACTTCAGTCCAAGTAGTCTGTGGCGATCATATAGTTTGAGTAGCCAACCTGACGACATTTGTTTTAGCTTATACATTAAACATAATTAGTATATGTAAACAAATAAATCTTTTTTTTAGCTAGACACAAAAAGGTTTTATTTGAGCTGGTCTGATACATCTCAAACCCTAAAAGCAGCCAGCATTTCTTAGGTTACGACGTTTGAGGCGCTTGCAGGCTGTAATGTGGGCCGAGCACTGCGGCTAGGATTGGCTAGGGGACGATGCACTAGGTGTATAGGACAGACCAGGGAAGTTGCGACTTGGGAAAATGCCTTTGGGAAAGTACCTAACATCGGAAGTATAACAATTTTTGTATTCGAATTTTTGCGGAACAAACAATGCCTTGATGATATAAATAATTGCCGTATTTTAAAATAATTTACATGGCATTAAAGAAAACAAAGTGAGCTAAGTGGAAACAAGAGGGACGTCCCATGACCACGCCCCCCTCTCCAAAAAAAGACCTTAGAGAATAGGTATAGGGTAGAAATGCATGTTTATAGCCCAATTTTTCAAGGCCAGCTCATAACAAAAAAATCCAAAAAAGGTTTTAAAAAATGCATTTTTTAATAGATATCAAAGTGTGAAACATGTTTCTACGTGCATTTTTCAAGGGTTTTTAAAAATATAGTTTTTAAAACTGAAGCTTTAGTCAAAAAAACATTTGGGCTATTTTAGATTTTTTAAACAGACAAGACTTTTTACCAACCTGTACCCTACCGTATGCATAAAAGAATTTTACAAAAAATTCTTTAAATTTCTATTTATTAAGAGTCAAAAAATGCTCCGGTGATAGTGTCAAAAATGAGAGTGCTAAGGCAAAACAAACTAGAGGGCCAAAAGCGCCAAAAAGGCCCCCCCCCCCCAGCCTTGTATAATCGAAGAGTTCCTGGACTAGAATTGTAGATGTCTCCTCCATATTTAATTCAAATATGTAACCTTGTATAATTAAAGAATTCCTCAGCTGAAAGTGTAGTTGTTTCCTCCATATTTAATTCAAATATATAACCTTGTATAATTGAAGAATTCCTCAACTAGAATTGTAGTTGTTTCCTCCATATTTAATTCAATGCATTTGTCTGAAAACAAAATAACCTTATATTATTTGGCAAATGGTGATTTTCATAAACTGGAGTTTTAAAAATATTCATTAAAGGAATTGAGTCTTTGGAACAAAATCAAATATTTAAATCTCAATATCTTTAGAACTCGATGTTGTAAACCTTTGATATTTCAAACTCAGATTATTTGGTCTGACAGAATATATAGTTTGAAATATCTAAGGTTTGCAAAATTTGGTTCCAAAGATATAGTGAATAGAAAATCAGAGTTTGTGGCAAAGACTCAATTTCTTTGATATGTATCACCTCATCTGATCTATTTCAGTTTTTAATTGTACTCGACTATCTGTGAGCATCTTCTCTTTGTACAATATAAGACAATAACAAAAAATGTTCGCAGATTTAATATTATTTTTTCTTGCATTTTCTAAATTTTACAAAGATCAAAAACTTTTGAATACAAATTTTTATAATTTTGAGCATCCATAAACCTTCTCTGGGGTCATGTGAGGTCCCACAAAATGTTTGGGCCCGATCGGTTGGGGTGTTTGGGCCCGATCGGTTGGGGTGTTTGGGCCCGATCGGTTGGGGTGTTTGGGCCCGATCGGTTGGGGTGTTTTGACGTTTATGGGTTACACACACACAGACAAGCAAAGTATATGATTTATATATTTAAGTAAATATGTATATTTTTTGCCAACATTAGACAAAACTGAAATCTATAAATGAGTTACACAATTCCAAATTCATTCTTGTATTGTTAGAAACACAACTTTTAATAAACTTAAATTCTAACTAAAACAACACACTTGTATCTAAAATGGAGTTAGAGAAGATCGTTATTTATAAAAAATCCGCTAACATTTTTTAAAAATCACGTTTAGTTTGATTTATGGAAGTGGAATTAAAAATATCATTATGTTCATAAAAATCAGCTAACATTTTTATAAAAATCATAATGTGATTGATTTATCAAAATTGACTAGGATCAGTAGGCATATTGAACACTCTGCTAATAAATTGTCCTTTCTATAACATTTTTACAAAAATAGTTCGTCATTTTCGAGCATTAAATAGTCCTTGAGTTAACAAAAACCACTTAGGCAAAATATTACAGTCCTTTTAAAACTTAAAAAAATATCATGTGTCGACGAATTGAAGGGTAAAGTTTAACTAAACCTTAAATGTGTCCATAATGAGCTTGTATATTTCGGTATTCGAAATCTTATCTTTTCTATAATCTATGAACACTCAGTTTACTCATTAAGGTTCACTTTAGATCTAAGTACTAACCTGAATTCCCTGCAAAAATCTACACGGCTTTTTTGCTGGATAACGTAACTAATGCTAAGAGATAAATTTTGTTTAAAAAAACTAGTTTTGTCAATTAGTTGTGATAAACCACCCTTTCTTGCATAGTTTTAGTTTTGTCAATTATTAATCTACAAATCTACCCACAATCTATAGTGCAAGGTGTTACATTTATTATTTTTAAGATACTTTTAAGTCTATATGCAGTTCAAAGAAACTGAAAATAGAAATATGATAAAACTAAAAATTTGGTGTTTCTAACATTCAAAGGAACTGAGTTTTAGCCACAAATTCTGATTTTCAAATCGCTATATCTTTGCAATCTGATGGTGTTAACCTTTGATATTTCAAACTATTATTATCTCATCATAAAATAATTCATAGTTTGAAATATCTAAGGTCTCTGACATTGAATTGCAAAGATATAGGGATAAGAAAATCAGATTTTTTGACAAAAACTCAATTCCTTTTAAAAAAAAGCAAACGTCTTTTTTAATAGGTTGCAAAAATATACATATTTAAAAATTGCGTGTTGTTGAAAATTTTTCATAAAGCTTATTTAATTAAGAGGCTAAACATAACTACAAGGTGAGAAAATAAGCGAAACTAAATTCAGAAAATCAAAAATTTATTTTAGAAAAATATCATGAAAATGATTTTCATTTTTTATATTCTTTTATAAAATAAAATTTTGAGATAGTTGAAACTCTCTAAAGTAGAATAATAGGATAAGAAATTAAGTCTTTGCCACAAACTCTGATTTTCTCATTTCTATATCTTTGCGACCCAATGTCGTGGACTTTAGATATTTCAAACTATTAATTCTGTTAGATGAAATAGTCTAAGTTTGAAATATCAAAGGTTTAGATGGCAAACATAAAGGTATTAGAAAGTCTGAGTTTGTGTCAAAGAATCAATGTATAGAGCTATAGAGTCTATTAATAAAATTGCGGATTTTCTTAATTTAGTTTTGATTTTCTCCAAAACTACTAATCTCGTCTGTTTTTAAGTTTTTAAGGTGTGAGTGAAAGAAATGACACATTCCCAAACATTTGTTTTTCAACTAATCTAATTTTAATTGAAAAAAAGTTATGCAATTTTTTAAAGGGTCGATAAGATGTCATATAAAAAAATTCAAAAGTTTTAACCATATTTGTCCAGATTTTGAGATTGTCCAGAAAGCTACTTTATTGTAAACAAGATTAGACTATACACCCTGTACATTTTCATTAGACAACCCTCCGTATTTTATACAGACAATGCATTTTATTAGGTAATGTCATGTTATCTAACAACACAAGAAAAGTAACAATTAATTAACAAACTTAAAGGGACTTCACGGTAATTTAAAGTGGCCATCTTTACAACGTTGTTCCCTTTACTTATCACAATGGGGGCGGCGTTTTCCGCTCCCCTATGTTTTTTCCTAGGTAACTTAAAAACGACTGACATTAGAACACTACCTCTTCACTTTTTCAAATTTATAGTTTTTTATTTTTTGATGTGTGGAGGACAGTAAAAAAATCAGAAATGGTGAATAACTTTTTTATTATTCAAGCTACGGGGCAAAACTTTATATATTTTAGAGAATATTTGTCAAAAGTAAAAATATTAAAGGAATTGGGTCTTTGTAACAAAATCAAATATTCAAGCCCCAATATCTTTAGAACCCGATGTTGTAAACCTTTGATATTTCAAACTCTGATTATTTGATTTAACAGAATTCATAGTTTGAAATATCTAAGGTCTACAACATTTGGTTCCAAAGATATAATGATTAAAAAATCAGAGTTTGTGACAAAGACTCAATTCCTTTGAAACATTTCTCGGACGTACTTTATGAACTTTCTAAAATCCTCCTTAGTACCATAACCATTAAAGATGGAGGTCTAATTTCCTAATGAGTAGGCCATGCAAAGTGGGTGGGGGTGTGGAGGGAAACATCCCCTCTAAACATTTATTAGACAAAAGTAACCCAATTGGGTTAAAGCCTTAATCTGAACAAAATATGGAATAAAACTTCGTTTTTCTCAGTCAACACTTTTTTATTCAAGTTTTTCTTTGTTTCTTATTAGCAAGAATTGCGCAAGTCGTTTTGGCCGAGCAGTCACATATAAACAAAATGATTTTATATTTAGTAAATTTTCAACCGATATATATTTACAAAAATGTTATATGAACTTTTCAGAATTTCACATATTTCTAGTTCTTCCTGCATGACAGCAATATTTTTTCAGCACTCAAACAGCAGGATGTTAAATGAAATTTAAATCAGTAATTCAGAAGTAGGGTTTCCAGCGAAAAAGGAAAATCGTTACACATTTTTGAAAAGCCCTAGACCCAGCTAATTCAAATGCGATAAAAAATTTGCAAATTTTTTTTAACCTAAATGTGTATTCATAAAAAACTGAACATTTGCAAATTCTATTTAAAAGCTTCTGTGCAGAAATCTGTGCAAAATGTCTTTGCAAAAAGTGTTTAATCTGCTTGCTTTTGTTATTGGCTTTCTAAAGAGCTATAGCATGTTGAAATCCAATGACAGAAAGTAGGTCTAAACATAGATTTTGTCTCGTAAAGGTAAATGATGCATTTAGGTATTATATGCCTGAGGACTTAAGCAGTATGTATACAAACCCAGCTTTTAGTCTTTAGTTAGAAAAGCCAGAAAACTTTAGCCTCCTAGCACAAATACTTTTGAGTTATCGCAAAAAACCGATAGGGGGTCAATTTGACCCCCCCATCAGGCCAAATAGGGTTAAAACCTTAAATAATTCAAACTTTGACAAATTGATTTTGACGAAACTATTTTAACTAATTAGTAAATTTAATAGAGAGAGATTAAAAAATATCTTTTTTACTTTAGACAGAAAACAATACCTTTTTACTGTCCACAATCGAAAGAACATCTTCCTTATGAAATAACATATAGAACTTTCTTTAAAGGGAGAGACTGGCTAGACATGGTAGTTATGCTGCCATTTAAATATTATAAGACGTTTCAACGATAATTGTTCAGCAAGAGCGCAAATTCAATCTTTAATATCCTACAAGGTTTTCTATCCAGAAGGAATGTTTTGTCATCGTCGTTATCGAATATTTTTTAAAAACTTATTCTCTAATCATCCCATAAAAATACTGCACTCTTAGCTCAACTACCATATCTAGCCGGTCTCTCCCTTTAAACCCAAAGTTTACTCTTGTGACTCAACGCATTTATGATGTTTCATCTTCACATAACCAAGGTTATTGTGTACACTAAAGTGTCCAAAAAATGTCCAACTGAGTCAGAAAATCATAAAAGCATTTCAGAAACATGTCGAATTTATCTTTAAGTTGATTTTAATATTTGTTGATTTTAATATTTAATGATTTTGATATTTAATGATTTTAATAATTAATGATTTTAATATTTTATGATTTTAATTTTCAACGATTTTAATAATTAATGATTTTAATATTTAATGATTTTAATATTTAATGATTTTAATATTTAATGATTTTGATATTTAATGAAGGAGAACTGATTTTTTTCTAGTTACAATTTGTGTGCAAATGTATAATCGCAGTAAGGACTATTTATGGTAAACCAGACGTCAGCCTGAATAGGGTTAACCCTAAACAAGGTCTAGTTTTTTTGCATTAGCACTCTCATTTTTTGGCACTATCACCTTGAGTTGTCTTTTTGAATCCATTGGGTAAACATGAATTAAACTATGTATATAATTAGGGTTATTACTATATATATATACAAGCCATGTTAATTAGGGTTATTACTATATATATACAAGCTATGTTAATTAGGGTTATTAATATATATATACACAAGCCATGTTAATTAGGGTTATTACTATATATATACAAGCCATGTTAATTAGGGTTATTTCTATATATATACAAGCCATGTTAATTAGGGTTATTACTATATATATATACAAGCCATGTTAATTAGGGTTATTTCTATATATTTACAAGCCATGTTAATTAGGGTTATTACTATATATACAAGCCATGTTA